CGGTAAAAGATATTTGGAGAAAAATCTCATCGAGATGATAAATTCTTGTTAATTCCATCGAAATAGTCAAATCTCCGGAGTCCCTGGGCAGTCATTTGGCTTCGTTGCTGTTGGAGGCGGAACACAGAGTTCAAGAACTCGGCGGGAGTACTTCCGGTAGCGGCGGCACTACCCTTCTCGAACCACCGACCAGTCATAGATCAAGCTTCTCGTCGCAGCACAACAATCTCACGGGATGCGGTGGTAGCGCGGAGGACAAGCAACTCGCGTTGTGGGAGAGAAGAGCTAGAGCCCTTAGAAAAATGTTGCTCGGATTCGATCAAGCGAGTAAGATCCATTTTCCTTTTCTTCTTCTCTTTCGATCGATTTCGATTTCGATGTTCGATCCGAATTGACCTCGCGTCAACCTTCTTCCAGGACCACCGGACATGCCCTTCTTGGTGGCTGTGGACGTGACGGGAACAAATTCGGTGACCGTGAGATTCCAGGAGCCAGATTCCCACGATTCTCCTATCTGCACGAAATTCAAGGTCCAATGGAGTATCAAAGAGGACTTCTCGGTGATCTGCGGGGAAAGGGAGGTTCTGGATATGAAGCAGAGGGAATGCAGGATCGACGATCTGATTCAAGGGCAGAAGTATTATTTTCGAGCGGCTGCCGGCAATTTAAAGGGTTACAGCAGGTTCAGGAATTCGACTCCTGCCCACGTTACGCCCAGTAGTAAGATTATTTGTAATTTGGGGGACGCGTTGTAGATCGATGAGCAACGCGCGATGGAACAGCCGAGAAATGAAGAGATCGATCGAGATTTAGCTCGCGTCCAGATTTCGCTCGATCGCGTTTCGAGTTAAGTTTAAAATTTCCATTGCGCGTTATCGATCGTTTCCGCCAGATTCGAAGTTTTCGAACGAAACTTGTAGAGTAGATAAATTATACGCGAGTGTTGTTTCAGGTTGGAGGGACATCGACGGCCGAGTGCCGAGGTTTGCTGGCCGATTGGAACAATTGAATACTTTATTCACGGACATAAGACGGCCAGAGTACACCCAAGAGACGCCGGCCGTGCAGAGGCGTAATCACAAGAAAAAAACAACGATAAAGCAGCTCTTCACGGCGACGAGCAAGTTCCAGAAGAACTTGAGGCGCGGTGTCTTCCTCGCTTGCTTGCTCTACCACGAGGATAAAGTGTTGGTGACAAACGAGGATTTCTTGCCTGTGATCGAAGTCGACGAGACTTATCCTAGCTGTATTTACAACGATTTCCATTGGCTTATGAAAGTTGGTTGTACGTGGGACGATGTTAAGATTCTTCGTCAAGATATGGAGAAAAGTCACAGCAGCTCGACCAATCATTTCAGGATAAAACTCTTACAAGCTGCTGCGCAAATGCAGGTTCGTCTTTTCTTGCTACGCTGTATAAAATAAGATGTTGACAAATGTTTAATTTTGAAAATGTGTTGTAGGCAGCACTATGTATACAGGATCTTGGTCAATTGTATCATAAACCTATCAGAGATGTTCAAGGGACTTTGGTTTTCTCTACAGTGAACTACGTAAAATCGCCAAAATTGATATCGGTGTTGAACAGCAGATGGTTGCCGCTCAGCAAAGTCACGAAGAAAGTGATTATTCACGAAGACAGTAACGTAGCGGATATTTTAATAGCCAGTATACAGGAGCAGATGACTTATCATCAAGTTAGCAGTATCAAATTATCTAAAGGACTTTATCTTGGTTATTTGAAGATGCAGAGTAGCGTCGATCTTATTCAAGTTGTTGTACCCGCGAAATCACCCAACGTTTTGCCTCATTGCAAGATCCGTGACAATCCACACGTTTCTGCGTAAGAATTCTATCTTCTTATAATAAATTGTAATATTTTCCTGTAGATATTTCCTCGTGCTATTCGTGCTTATTCTTATTCGCTTATGTTTCTGTAGCGAAGAATGGGATTATTTGAAAAGGATAACGCGCATTCACGCATCAGACGCATCGGTTAAAGATTGCGAAGAAAAAGAAAACGTAACAAACGAGTGCCAAGGTACGGAACAGCAAAAATTGTTTGTCGATCTGGTCGCTGCTACGGCAAGACGTTTGTTCAATTACATGGAAATTAGCCCCGAAGATTCCTTGCTCCATCGACTCTACGACGCTGAAGTTATCGATCTGACTCACGATGTATCCTTTCTGATCGCTGTGCCTCCTGCAGAAACCGCTTGTTGCGTGCCTGGAACCAGGGAAATCCTTCTACAACGTGGCGATCTTCTGTCCTTGCCTATTCAAGTATTCGAAATGGTCCATCTGAATACTTATCAGAAGGATGTGATCAACAGATACTCAAGATTAAGTTGCATTCTGGAACTCGACACAGCGCAAGCACAATACAACCACAGAGAAGCTTTTAGCTCTCTGGAGTTAAGCGTGGCGAAGGATAAATTGGCCAGGCTGCAGGATCTTCAGACTCAAGTGAACACCGTGTGGAAAGGAGCTAGGTGGCTCATAGATGTGATCACGTTCGCTAGAGATCGAGGCTTTTCGCAGCAGAGCGTAAGTTGACCAAATCCTGTGATCTCTGTAAAAAAAAAAAAAAAAAAAAAAAAAAATCCAATACATCATCTTAGACAACTGTAATAATTCGTAACTGCAGGGCTCGTCACAAGTTGGGATTTCGATGAAGCATTTGCTGAGCCTCGACAGAAACAAAAGCAACAATAACAGCAACAGTCTGAAGAGGAGTTTGCTCCAATTACCGCCACGCGATCCGAAGTTGGTTAAATCTAGTCCAGGTCGAGGCAGTTGGCCAGGGCCTAACATGTCCAATTCTTCCTCGAATCTACTCACCACCGAATTCAGTAAAAGCGAACAACAATTGCCCAGTGGCCAGTACATTCGAAAAGGCAGCAACACTTCGAACGTGTCGACCGGCTCGGAACCCCCAAAGTCCTCCCTACCCATGAGTAGCGCCAGCAATCTTAGCAACGCAACCAGCGCTGGCAGCAACAACCATCTGGTACCGTTGCAGAACACCAGGTTACCGCCCTCCAAATCCGAGGACACTTTGATCCTAACGAAATACAAACACAGTCCTAGAAATAGATCGGCTACGATCACATCCGCCTCGGCCAGCACCAGTCCTTTACTCAGCATAAAGCCCATCATCTACGGTGGCTCGCTCTTAAGCGTGTCAACAGCAATGACGAATACGACAAGTCTGTTGAGCGTCAGCAACAACACCAATTCCGATAGTTTGCATTCGCTCAGTAGCGATGAATATTCCACGCCTAACTCGAGTGTCTGCATCAAGAGTGGACACGCGAAGAGCAAATCGACCAAACCCACCGCTACTGTCGCGGCCACGGCGACTACTGGTTCGTTGGAGAGCCAATTGGAGGAGGAGAAGGACGAGGCGACGATGATGCCGGCTCCTCTGCCAGGCATTCTTCAGGTAATAATGTCACGTTTAAGATTTCGCGTGTATTAAGTGTTAAGAAATTAGAGTTTTACGTATTAAGGAAAAGGCAATGAAATAACAGGATTGGGATCCCAGAGTGCGTTAAACATTGCGACACAAGAAATGACGAGCGTTGCGTCCATTCTCGACGTTCACGTTTGCAAGCAACGATTGTATAATAGTACGTGGTGGGATCAAGCTAGTGTACAATTTGTCACGATTGTTCCCCCTTAGACTTAGGAATTATTCTTTTGCGCAAGCTTAAAGTAACACTTGTTCCAATTCTGAAACCGCAAAGCTTATCATTTTTACCTTTTGGAGAACCGCTCATTGAGTTTAAATAATATTTTTCCTTGTAGGGAACACAAGTCTAACCCGATTGTAGTTAAAAACAGCTCACTTGGTCTTCTAGTGCAGACCGATGTAGCGGACATATGAGTAAGCCGTCACACACCGCTAAATTTCAGTGCTTGTTTTGCTCAGATGCGCTTTCCAGATTATACCGCTTTTCTTGTATTATCAATTTAGCAAAGCATGAAATTTCGTCCGAGCTTTATAATAATTACATATAACACACAATTTTTTTCTTCGTGTTAATCCAGGTATTGGATTGAATTTTGCGAAGATGAATAAAATTTTGATCTGAATGCGTGCATATATAATATCTCTTTATCTCTATATCATTTTAAATAATCGTTATTAATATTGGGTAAGCGACTTTTTTTATTTTTTTATTTTTTTTTTCATTTTTTGTAAATACTAACTTTTAACTTACTTTATCATACTTGTCGTTAATAACAGCCAGATGCATCGAGCAACGTACTGTCACTGCGCTGCCACCTAAATGTCACTGCATATGCCGATTTTACAATGCAGACAATTTGTATTTGTACAATTTTATATCCGAACTATTCAACGGCGGAATCTAATTTAAATTTTTGGTATTTTTTTCAGGTTTACGCGGCCTACGAAACCGGTCTGGCTTCCGGAACCAGCCTCAAATTACACGTTACCCCGAGGACCACAGCCAGGGAAGTTGTGAATCTAGTTGTGAAGCAGTTGAATATGGCGGTAGTTTTAAAAGGCCAAGAAGGCCCTGTTTACACGGCTGACGAGCTGCCAAATTTTTGTTTGGTGGCTGTGATTGGTGCTAGAGAGCGTTGCCTGAGGGATGATTTCAAACTGCTGCAACTTCAGAACCCCTGGAAAAAGGGTAGATTGTACGTGAGGCAGAAACAAGACGTCCTTGCAGCCCTTGAGCACAGCAGCAAGCATACCGCGTATTTATAGCATAAGTAACGAAGAGAAAGAAAGAAAGAAACAAAATGTGATCGCGCGGTTGACGATATCCATTAATGTAAGGAACTGCTGCGTTTCATTAATAATTGGCGATCAAAAGCCAAAGATCACTTAGTATGATGCATTCTGTGTCTCGTAAGATTTAAGATTTTAGTTAAATAAATATCTTTTTCTTTTATATTTCTTTCCTCTTTTTCGTTCATTTTTAACACAGGATATATAAAGAATGTAAAGATCTCCCAATCGGTTAACGAGACACAGGATACATCGAGATGTACATAAAACAAACGCTTGGCTACAAGAAAAAATTTTCAGTTGTATCTTTCGAGGCTCTAATTAAATTACACGTAATTAGATAGGGAAATGAAAGAGAGGAAAGACGATCGTCTTAAAGGGCGAGAATTAAAAATTACGCGAATCCAGAGTACATTCCAACAAAGTTTCGATCCGACGTAATGTAATTTCACGCTGATGGATTAGAATAGCGTTGCAAGAAAATGGATAATACTCAAGGTATATCGTATCGTTATATTTTAGATATCGATCTCAGTGTTTTGCTCGATATATTATCGTTTTGCACGCGTCTCCTATTATAAATTCGTCAGATGCTTAAGAGATCTCATTGTTATCCCAACAATTCGACGTGTCCGGGTGATGCGCAACGTTCTTCTTATTTTTGTATCACAAATTATCTTTGTTCTTTCGTAAAAATTGCTAATTGTTCCGATAAAATATAATCTTGGACACGTCGAACGAAACTGAGAGCACAAATTTGCGAAGAACAGACAAGATTTTATATTTTGTATTTTTAAATCTAATCATATCCGAGAATTTATTTCAACGAGTAAATTCTACTTGTCTAAGCCTTTTATTCGAGAGATACGATTTCTTCTCATCGATCTTTTCTTCCGCGTTCTATTTTCATTATTTCGATCCATGAAAAGATTTTCCTTCGTTTATTTTCTTCTTTTCTCTGGTTTGCAAACAATGGGAACAATGAAGGCGTCCTGAATATTATAATTGAAAATCGCTAAAATTTATTATTAATATGGCGACGACTGGGACAGGATTTACAATTAATTATTAATAATATTAAAACATAGACGAAACGTGATTCGTATAAAAGAGGCTTATAGACTGTTGCGTAGAAATAAAAGAAAAAGTATTATTACGATTACTAAGATTTTTATTCCCGCCGAGATTGCGAACAGCATTGTCAAACGAATGTATTTCTTATTCTTTATTCTTGAATTCACGTATTACGTATTACTACATTGATTATTTGTTCGCGCAATATGCGATGTTTCCTGTCTTGTTTCTAGACTTTTTCTTTCTTTCGTCGAACGAGCATTGTACGCGTATTTCTTTATTATTATTTACTTCTTTGTCAGAGAGGAAAAGCGTGACGAGGTCGATTTTGAGTTATCGATCTTGTCGATGATCTTGTTAAAACTCCAGACACTCGTGGACTTCCTATTAAGCGACCTAGACAACGCGTGAATACGAATACGATGCAGAGCAGATTGTAAAAATATACCCTAATCGCATGATATCACTGTTCGATATTTGTCATAGCATGCAATATTTCAAGATCCTAGGGCAAAGATGATACAAAGATTTTTTCATTTACACGAGTAATCGAAGGTCGAAGACGTATTCCACAAATGTGCGAGACTTGTTAGGATTATTTTCTTTGAATTTTTCTTCTTTATATTCGAGGACTAGTGTAAGAAGAGTTTGCATCGCTATTGGATCCGTCCTTTATATAAACGAAACATCAAAATTGGATTCCCCTCGCTTGAATACAATTGAACAATGGTATCATGGATCGAGGGGCCATCTAAGTTTAAACGAGAATATACAATGCAGATATTTTTTTATCGAGAAAATAAAAAAAAAAAAAGAGAGGTAGGAAGGGAGGAGGAAATGAAAAAGATTTATACTTATATTTTGCCAGAGCGCGTACTCGTTAGAGATTTAATCGAGGAACCGCGATTCGCACGGAAATACGGAGAAATCTGTCTGCGCGTCGAGCAGAAATATAGCTAAGCAGAGATGAAGATGTGTGCAATGAGTGGCAAAAATAGAAGAAGAATGCTGAGAAAGATCTTAATAGAACGCTAGAAAAATTTATTAGCTCTACCTGAGTGTTTATCGATGTTGAGTGTAAAATAATCATTAGCAGTTAAGCGTTATTGTGGGAGGAAAACGAATTTCAAGACTTGAGAAGCCCTGATTTTCCTCTCAGACCAGGGAGTTCCAAAAAAAGAAAAGAAACGAGAAGAACGAACGAACTACTTGTAAATATTCAAAGAAATCTATGTATGTATAAATATAAATGAAAATTATCGAAGAAATTGAAGTCGATTATTCTCAACCATATTACGTTTTTAACATCGATGTTATAAAAATCATCGGCAACGTTAAATCAATTTTCCAAAATAAGAAATATATTCTTCATCGTGCGATAATTAATTTTTATATACAAAAATGGAGATAGAGTTGAAGTTTGAAATTAATTTGGAAAAAAAAAAGGCACGAGTAAATCGTATTTTACTGTTTCTTTCGATTTCCGCGTTACTTAATTCGATTATACAAGACTTGATATAGGCTTTATTTCATTAGACAGCGCAAGCCATAACTCTCGAGAAGAGGCGAAATGAACCCGGACCCTCACGACCGAGAGTCCCGCTGACCCACTTCCGTCTCGTTTCTCGTCTCATCTCATCGAGCCACCTACTCCTTATTTATCCCCCACCTGGTGCAATTGTGCACTCTGGTCTTCCGGCTAGTTCCCAAGAGGAGATCTGTGGTAATGAAAAACTGTCAGGGCATCCCCTCCGAGCAATGGCGGTCCATAGGCCAACGTCTTCTCTCGACGTCGACATCGATTTCTCGCTCATTTTTAATAATAATGTTGCCGTTTTACTCCTAAGTTAACCACGAAGTTTTAAAAGTGTTACAAAAAAAATTGAAAATTATTATTATTAAAAATATTATTATTAAAAGTATTCGTTGATAATTCGATGAACTAAGCGAAAGCGAATTAATTTCTCGATCATTTTTAATAATGTTGCCTGCAATTTTTTACTATTGTGTTAAGTTAACCACGAAGTGTTTAAAAGTGTTACAAAAAAATTAAAAATATTATTATTAAAAGTATTGGTTGATAATTCGATGAACGAAAGCGAATTAATTTACCGTCGAGCGAAATTTGTCGGAATTAGAAATTTTCTAACGTTTCAATCTGCTTGCTTGGTTGATATTTGTATCGCAAGATATACGAGTCAAGAGGAACAAAAGGCTGGGAGATTAACGTTGGAATCATTAATCACAGTCGCAATTGCCTCACGATAAAGAGCAACCGCTAGGCGACTCGAGCCGGAAGCTCGGTACCGTATGCACGGAGTTAATAATCTTTCTTCATTTGCCACCATTTCTCCCTCCATTCCATTCGACGACGACGATAAGAGATACGAAATATTTTCCAATCGACGTTACACGACAAAAATAATTTGTAATCGAATCTGAAAGAAGAAATTTTTGAATTATCATCGTGTTTGTTCTTTATTACAAGAGAGCGATGGCTATCGATGATTAAATTGAATAGATCGAAACGAAGTAATCGAAGATGGAAGGGGGTTAAATAAATATTAGAGAAGAGGGGTGTAAAAGAGTTGGTCACGCTCCAGTCACGCCGACAAATTTGGTTTTGTGGGTGCATATACAGTTAATAGTCATTGTCGGGAAGACGGAACCGCACGAGGTGATTGGCTGACCCGCACTCCGGATTCGCCCTCGGCTGACCCCGTTGTTAACTGACCCACTGACGATACTGACAGCGGGATACTCGGCGGTTCACATCGCTTCGTTCCTTCGCTCGTTTCCTCCGCATTGCGCTACCTCCAAAAAATACACTTTCCGATACTTGGTTAAAAATTATTATTAAAATTTATAGGGGGACCTGGATAACAGGAGGTTTAATTATCATACGGATAATCGGAAAAAGGGAAGGAACGAGGCGAAAGAATGCTCGATATCGATATCGAAACGAGCCAAATTTAAAACTTTTTCTCGATTGACGGAGAATAATTATTACCCTGGTAAAAATCCGTTTTTCAATGAAATCACCGACGAAACAACTCGGCCAATTACCTAACGAGCATCATCGAGGCTAATAACAGCCGTCAGGATGACTCTAATAAACTCGAGCACGATCTCTGGAAACCGAAACGAAAACGACGCATCCGTGATCCATCCGTGTTCACGCGTCTTTCGATCGATGGATTACGACACGCCGCATTGTGTCGAGAGTCTGTTCCCGAGGCTGTCACGAGAACCAGATTGCCGTAATAATTTGATTGATATTCGCTCTCCGTCTCGCGGAAAACGGTCGAAGGATCGCAACCTCTCTCTCTCTCTTTCTTCTCGTGGAACACGGGAAGCCAGGAGGAAATTAGAATACGTGAGACGAATAACAGGAAAATTCTGACGTAAGAATCTTCGAGGCGGCGACCTCGAATCGAAAGAGTAGAATTGTGAAAAATTAAACGAAATAAAACTGTCGTTGGGGAATTTTGGAAGGATGATTGGAAACGGATGGTGACATAAGACGAGAAAGAGAGAGAGAGAGAGAAAGATATATAGTTACCGATACCGCGGACGACGTTAATGCGAAACAGTAGGTCAACTCGCGTAGAACGAGGCTAGAAGCTCCTGGCAAATCCGGTGTCAATGGGATCGATTCACCCGGCATCGTCGCTCCAGTTATTGACAGGGAACTGGACCGTCTAGTTCTTTCTCGATCACGCTTCTTGCATCTGCGATCGAGGCTATGAACCGTGGACCGGAGGATGTGAAACAATTCTTTGTGGAAAGGGTATCCAATTGCCCGGATCTCTCGCTTCGGTTTCCATCCTCTACAGCTTCGAGGAACTCTTAATATTTTTTTCTCTCTCTTCTTTTCTTTTTTTTTTTTTTACGACCCGAGGAGTGGTGCTTGAAACACTTACTTTTTTTTTTTTTAGCGTTCTTTTCACGCTTCCATAACGGACTAATGATTGGATCGAAAGAATTTCTATTAAGAGTTTGCACCTGTTCCTTGCGACGAATCGAGGAATATTTTTAATTTAATTGAACGATAACCTAAATTTTAAAATTTCTAAAATTTCTTGAAACGTTGTTTTCCACGATTGGATTATGTTTTAGGAATAGGTACGTTTGAATTGAATTTTCTACTATTGGATATTTTTCTTCTTTTTTTTTTCTCGAGAAAAGTTCGGCACGGAGACGAATACGAGCCCTAAGATCGGCAGAGGGCTCGATTTTACACGGATCTTTCAGGCTCGCGTACACGTGTACCAACCGTGTTGCGAAAGACTTATATGGGACACAAGGTCCGGCCGTTCGCCAGTCGAATTTTTACCGATCGAAGGTTAGGTTTCGCAGTTGGGTCTGCGTACCGATCTGTGGCCCCTGCATGCCCTCTCCCTCCTTCGCCAATGTCCCCGTATCACACTCAGTACAGTCAGTTCTGCTATCGCGCCGCTTTTCCTTAAATAATCTCACCTTTTCTCCAAACAATTTTATCCTCTCTCCTAGCCGAACAAGAAATCTTCTCGTATTTTCTCGAACGATCTTTAAGATTCAAAATTCGATCAATATCAAAGAGAATCAAACGTTCTTCTGAAAACGTTCTTCGTCTGATATATATAATAATTTCATTAAAAAAAGAAGCCGATTTCGCCTGCTTTCGAAGAATCATAAAAAAA